GAGATTACTGTAAGAAAATATTAATCAATTATATTTTGTATCTAATAAATTACAGATTCTATGTATATATTCAAAAGAAAATTGGATATAATTTCTAATCTGTTAAGAATAGATTTATGAAAGATGATTTATGTAAAAATATTGAGGATGGCAACGATGGTTTCATTTATATTTCTACATCCAAAATAAATTATAATAAATAAAAAATTAATATATTAATTGATCATCATTTAATGAAAAAAATAAATATTTTATTAATATAGTAAAATTAATATGGTTTTAAATAAATAAATATCTTTAAATAGATAATTAAAAAAATTATTTAATTATTAATAAATTATTTAATTATCATTATAAATTAGAATTAAATAATTAAATACACGGTTTTATACAATGTATTACATCATGTAAATAGATTTAATATGAATTAATATTATAATTTAATAAATAATATACTTAATATTTGTAATAATATTTGTAATAATAAAGATGATTAATAAAATGATAATGAATAAAACAATCTAATTTCTTAAAAAATAAAAAAAAATTCTCGTCTCGTTATTTTTTAAATTAATTTTATATAATATTTTATTGTACAATAATAAAATTAATTAAATATTAATTTATTATATCTAATTATTATTATAATAATTATTTTATTTTACATAATAATTAATTACAAAAAAATAAAATTATTACAGATTTTTTTATAAAATAATTTTAACATTTGGAAAAAAAATCGTGTATATAAAACACATAAAATATAGTTATTATAATAGATTATTATAAAACATAATTATTATTACTTTTTCATATTTTCTTTTCTCTTAGAAAAATAAAATAAAAAAAAATATTATTCAATAAAAAATTCTTCTTCATTTTTCAATTAAATTTTTTTTCATTTTATTCATATTAAAATTATAAAATTTTACCTTTTCTATCTTATCTTGATTTTTCTTACACATATATTTTATATATATAAAGATTCAATATTTGTTTCACACACTACAGTGGATATAGGTATAATCTTAATAATGAATACTTATTATATGATTTTGTATATAGATACCTTCATAACAAGGCAACCATAACCTTTAACATTTAATTGCATTAAATTACAATAGTTCTGTTTGGAAAATTCTTCAATAGCATCCCATCGTACAAAAGGTAACCAGCAAAGAAAGAATTTCAAAAAGTCAAGAAGATCTAAACAAGTCTAAACAACTAATCATCCGATAATTGCTATTCTATGACTTGTTTACGATGCTATTAAAGGAAGTTGTTAGATACATACGTGTCTAACATAATTTATGAATAGCAAAGATAAGTTTTATGTCTTTTTTTCAGCGATCAAATGATTTTTTTGTTCAAATTAAACGTGATTTTTCAACAATTAAATTATAAAAAATATTTTTAAATAACAATTTTTTTAAGTAAACATTCCATTAAATTTCATTTATTACTAATTATTATAAATATTTTTTATTAAATTTTATATATTTATTTTGTATTGCATTAAAAAATAATTAAATATCAATAATATCTTTAATATTTCAACAAAAATGATAAAAAATAATTAAATTTTCTTTTCATTGATATATTTATGCGTTTTTAAAAATGATTTTATTAATATCCATTAATATTTTATTCATAGCTAATATTTCACAGTTAATACTTTTTCATTTAGAGTTTTTCCATAAGAGTTCTCATAAATATTTTTTTAATTTTAAGTACTGTTTTTATCTTTTTATGTTTATAGAGTTATTATAATAATAATGCCATAATTATTATAATAATGCCATAATGCATAGATATATCGTATAAACTTTTAATTATTATAAAATTTAAAAAATTAAATTATACAATATTAAGTGTTATTAAATACATATCCGAAATAAAATTTAGCAAAAAATATTGTTACATATAATAATAATTGTACATCTGTCATTAAAAATAATATCCATAATAAAGTGAATTATAATAAAAATTATAGTCAATCATAATTTTACCTACCTATTATCTGTGTCTGAAAAATAAATTTAACGAAAATTAATTTTTTTTTACTCTCTTATGAATTTATCTAATTATTCGTATCATTTTATAGGTTATGTGTTCATATCCTTTATCATATCAATTTTACATAAAGAAAGGTACAAATACAATGAAAAAATTCTATTTATCCGAACTCTAGGAACAAGATGATTCGGATAATTGGATCATTCGGATAATAGAAGTCCACTAACTTTTTTTTCCTTCACTAACGTTGTTGTCACTTGGTTCGTATACGAGGTACTGTTTACATAACTGGATTTATATTCGTTTATTTGAATACATAAATATTATTTCTTTTTTTTAATTATTTAAAGAATTTAAAAAACTTTTAATTAAATCGTTCTATTAAATGTTAATATTAAATGCAATTGTTTTTATGAATGTCATGAATAAAGCAATATGTTACAAGCAAATTAGTTCGCATAATAGAAGCTTAACAATGAATTCGATAAATTGCGCATTTTGTTGACATTGATGTGCATAAATAAAATTCAGATAAATAGAGTCCTATTACAAATATAATACCTATCACACAAATTATAACGATTCAATGTCTTATTACGAAAATATGACAGAATAATACTCAAAAATACATTTTCAGTACTTGATCCATCATATTTATTTGATTTTGTCTTTCTTTAATTATTTTTCATGTTCAAAATTTTCTTATATTTTTATCTAGCGATGATTGTCGAAAAAAATATATTTTTAATAAAAAAATAATTTTTTAGATAGATATCATAAAGTTTTGAATCTTTAAATATTATTATCATATCTATTATTTTACAAATATGCTCTATATACTTATGGATAAGAACACATACACATAGTTTAACAATTAATGTTTATTTACATTAGTTATTACATTACTTATTTATCTGTCAATGATATTATTGGTATAAAATTATAACGTGATATATAAAAAATATTGTCATGTGAACATTATCTAATCTCTTTTTCCGATTTGTTTGAATAATTCAAAATAGCTGTGTATCTTCGTATACGCCATAGTGCGCATACACCTAATATAACTTGTCCGTTATAAAATTAAAGTAAAAGTTCGATAGTTACACTTAAAAATCAAGACTTAAATCGAGCATTTATACATGATAATGGAATCGAAATTTAATTTTGATATAACATTTCCATTTTGTCGATTGATTGAATAATTAATAAAAAGAAAAAAGATATCCTTTCCCTATCCTTACCCAATTCAGTCTGACTACCGAACAAGTAGGTCGTCGTAAATAACTATCCATCTTTTACTGTACTTTTATATTGCGATGATCGAAATTATTAAAAAAAAATTTTAAATTGAAACGTGTTTCATTTCATGTATTCACAATCCACACGTGATTTTCTTATAATCTATCTAAATATTGTTTTCATTTTTGCTTTTCGAGCACTTCATTATCTCGAGAAATCATAATACTCTGCGAGATATAAAGTATACATATATTGTATATATATGTATACTTACCATTCCTTTAATCTTATCTCATTGGAGAAAGAAAATATTTACTATTTTTTATTCGCCCTAATACACGTTCAATATATACATATAAC